GAAAGCTTATGCTCTAATAAATTTGTTAGTCTCTAAGGTGCCACAAGTACTCCTGTTCTTCTTTTTACACACTATGGAGGGAGCTTCTAGGCAGTAGCTGTGGTCTCAGGAGGTCTCAGCAAGCTGATGTAACAGGGCAGTGTACTTAAACCTGGGGACAGCTACTTAACGGAGAAATGTGCATTTTTTTCTCTCACACATAGGGTGTGTGTCTGCCCTCCCTCCTTTCCTGCTGCCTCATAGAGTGTGAGAGTTAACCCTTAGGGCTCAGTCAATTGCTAGTTCATTTAGCAGTGAGGCATTCCCTGGAAAATATCCCACCGTCTAACTCCTCCACCTCAACCAAGCTTCACAATCATCATCACTGTGTACCAGTTTTGAAAAAAATTTCCCTGGAACCTAACCCCCCCCATTTACATTAATTCTTATGGGGAAATTGGATTCGCTTAACACCGTTTTGCTTAAAGTCGCATTTTTCAGGAACATAACTACAGCATTAAGAGAGACAGCATATTGCAATATCAGTGTGTAAGTTTTCCTCAAGTACAGATGTGCTATAGATAGTAGTTGTCTTGCCTCCCTTATATTGTGCTGCCAGTCATAACACTGCTAACAAATGAGTGACTGGGGCATCAATTCACAGCTGCTTTTATTATCCACATTCACAGAATCAGTTGTTTCATTGCCTTAGGGGTTCATCTCCTCTGACACCTACTTGCCACAAGCTGATTTCCAGACAGCTGCTGATTCATTCAGACAGCCTTACTACAGTCTTTGATTGCTGAGAGCTGGAAGGCTAGAAAATATTCCAAATTCTCACCCCTATAGAGGTGCTTAATACAACCACAGAGGTTTACTTTTGACCTCATACCCCCTTTTCAGTTCTTACACAGAACCAACTTTCCAGTGGTTCTTAAGAGAATCTAAGAGATCTAATATATATTGCAATGGCAATACGATTAGACGTTCTATCCCTCTGATATCTCCAGTCAGTGAAACACATCACAGCCTTGTTACTAAGACCTTATCTCCATGAGTATTACACTAGCAGACAGCAGAACAGAATAATGAGTTGTCCACTTCAAAACAGTAATATTTGGAAGTTTCAGCACATTGGAGGTAATTTCTGCTGTTTCATCTTCATGCACAGTAGCATTTTTCTTTCACGTCATACACATTTATTATTCAACATCAGGCAAAACATCCTTAAATATGGAATAATTATTCATATGTGAACAAGTTTCATATCCCTTATGTGTCCCTAATCTTTATTGTGTTTTTTTTTCATCCTCCATTAAGATGATTAAAAATCTTACTTGCTATGGGCACACCATTTGTTAGCCAGCTAATATTAGGTTTGGGGTTGCCATTAGCTCTGCAGATCAGGGTTCCGTCCTCTCCAGGAGACAACACAAGGTTTCTAGGTGCTGTGATCCAGTATGGAGCAGCTTTGGTCAGGAAAGAAAACACAACAATCATCAATGTTACAAGTCTCCACTCAGAAGGTCAGTACAGTAGCTATAACTGGAAAAAATGCTGATTTTTATATCTGAATAATTTACTGGTAAAATCATGTTTTGATTAGCTCATGTTACAAGTGATACAAGCCATTAGGCTGTTAAATAGATGGACAATAAATCATAAAGAATGCATAGCTATCTACGTTAAAATTTTCAAGTAAACAAAATGTGATTCTTAACTGAATGGAAGTAAATTCGATTAATACACATCAGTGGCTTTAATCCTAATCTGTATTTCTAAAGACAGCAAAAGATAACAGACTCTGGCTTCTGTAAAAGGATTAGTACAGTAGCCTTTCTAATAAGTTTTGAGGTGTCCCTGGTCCTCAGGCCACCCATAGAAGAGGAAGAGAGGGACTGATAATAGGTGAAGAGAAAAGTGCGAGCGACTCAGGCGGGTGAGGGAAGAGAAACAGATTTAGGGTGAAAACCTGACTCCACTGAATCAATGCAAAAACTCCCAGTGATTTTAACGGGGTCAAAATTGAATCCTGGTTGGCTGACAAACACAGAGAAAGAGAGAGACAAAATGGACAAGAGATGATTTCCTTATAAGAAAAATAACTTCTATATGCCTATCAGCAGATTCTTTGCAGTAAGTCTATGCAAACTGCATATTTGTCACATTTTGTATAAAAATAAATAAATAAATAATGCATTTGTATTAGTGGACACAGGTGCATGGAGAATTTATCTTTTTATTTTTAAAAAGGAAGTGGATGATATCCACAGAACCATCATGAACCAAACAAAGTCAACATCAAGTGTAAACTGGTGTCAAGAGTTGTGCACAAACACTAGCAGCTTACTTAAAAGAAGTGACTGATTTGCCACGTGAGGAATAATCAACTCTCATTAGCTAATTCAAACAAAAGCCCTCAGGCACACTTCAAATACTAACATATTTGAAGTGTCTTTAATCCCAGGGCTATAATACCACTGGACAGATAAAACTTAGTAAAAATTAGTTTGGTAGAACCAGAAGAAGGGGCTATGAAAAAAGAAAGAGAGAAGATGGGAAGGGGAGAAAAAGGAAAAGAGAAGGAGAATGGGGATGGGAGGCAGAGGAGGATGAAGAGAAGGAAAAGAGAAATGAAGAGAGAAGGACGAGGAGTAGGAGAAGGGAAAGGAGCAGTAGAGGAAGTGGGGGAGCAGTCTCTTATGATGCTGAAAGAAAGCCTAGACTAAATTTACCACAGGTACCAGTTAGTATTGTATTAATGGAATTCTTTCTAAGGCAGGGGTTCTCAAACTGGGGGTCATGACCCTCAGGGGTCAGCCTCCACCCCAAATCCTGCTTTGCATCCAGCATTTATAATGGTGTTAAATATATAAAAAAGGGGTTTTAATTTATAAGGGGGGGTCACACTGAGAGGCTTGCTATTTGAAAGGGGTCACCAGTACAAAAGTTTGAGAACCACTGTTCTAAGAGATAGCTTCAATTTAGCACCACAGAGCTGTTTGGCAAAAAACCACCATCACTAACATGAGGCCATCATAAAAATTAAAGACTAGACATGGTAAAGTCTGTCTTGTGGGAAACCTCAGGCGATTTAATGACTATTTTTACTCAGTTTCTTTTACATGTATTCATCCTTGTAGATATTTACTGTAATATATTTTCCTGATAAAATACATTACTATATAACCTTGCATTGGGATGCTGACATTGTAAAATTTGGGATTATTTTAGCATTACCTTTGACAGTTACTGTAATGGTATGGTGAGTGGAACCTAATGGATTTCTTGCTACACATTTGTATTTTCCAGAATCAGCTTCAGAAACCTCTATGATTTTGAGAGTTTTCTTAAAATTTTCAAAAAATGTTCTGTTGATGGGCAGTTCTCCACCTTCTTTAATCCAGCGGATAACTGGTGTGGGTCTGGAGAAAGAAAAACACGGAGGAGATTAAAGAACTGGGGAAAAAGCGAGGTTAAGAGTTCAATCCATTAATTTTTCTTGTTTGTATTGTAAAGATAATTATTGTCCTGAGAACTTTGACCTGGGATTTTGGGGATATCCAACAAATCTGGAACATGTTCCAATGTTACTCTGTCATTTCCAGTAAATCGTAGAGTCATTAACATCAACAAACTTCCTTGATTTAATAATTACAGAATACATTTTTTTGAATCAATTGCAATTTACAATCCTTAATGACTCTAATAAAAGATTCAAATACATACGTGAATGTTCTTTATCTAAGCTATGATTATTTATTTGTGGTGGCAATTTGATGTTCATATTACTTTAGAAGAAGAATTTACTCACCTTGTAATGATGGTTCTTCAAGATGTGTCTCCCTATGGGTGCTCCACAGGGGGTGTGCTCACGTCCCTGCACTGCTGATCAGAGAATTTTGGCAGCAGTCTCCATTAGGTCCGCACATGCACGGTCTCCCCTCATGCCCTGCCTTGAGGCTAACCAGTGCACACGGGCTAACCCACCTCAGTTCCTTCTCTACTGCAGAGTCATTGACAAGAACTCCAAAGTAGAGGGGAGGAGGATGGGTTGTGGAGCACCCATAGGGACACACATCTCGAAGAACCATCATTACTGCACTGTTGTTCTTCTTCTTTGAGTGGTGTCCCTATGGGTACGCCACTGTAAGTGACACCTGAGCAGTATCCCTGCTGGAGGGTTGGGGCTTCGGAGTCGGGTCAGTTACAGATGACAGTACTGTGGAGCTGAAGATGGTATCGGAGGACAGAATCCCCAGTGATTGCGTAGTGTTCTGTGAAAATAAACTGACGGCCACATCGCTGCTCTACAGATCTCTGAGATAGGGACATTCTTGAAGAAGGTGACGAATGAAGAGATCGACCTCATGGCGTATGCGCAAATAGTATCTGGAGATGTCATGTTGCAAATCTGATAACTTTGTCTAATGCAGCCTGAGACCGACTTAGAGAGTCTCTAGGCTGATATTGCTGAGCCTTGGAGATTTCTGCAATAGAGAGGAACAACTTCGGGGACTTCACAAAAGACTTTGTTCTATCCAGGTAAAAGGCTAGGGCCCTCCTGACATCTAGTGTGTGTAATATAGCCTTCCTATTGTCACAATGAGGCTTAGAGTAAAAAGTCGGGAGGTGAATCATTTGGTTCACATGGAATGGGGAAGTTACCTTAAGGATGAATTTTGGGTGTGGCCTGAGTGTAACCTCATCCTGAAAGAATATCGTGTAGGGGGAATGTGCCATCTGAGCCGCTATTTCTCTTATCCTCCTAGCCAAAGTGTTTGCTATCAGGAAGGTCATCTTCACTGACAGGCATGTAAGCGAACAGGTGGTCCTGAGTTCGAAGGGATGTCTAATCAGGCCTTTCAATATGAGGTTTAGGTCCTATGTAGGTGCAGAATGTCGGGGTTGTGGAAAAAGGTTAACTATGCCCTTGAGGAATCGTTTAGTGGTTGGTGTGATAGCACTGAGTACCCTTCTACTTGTTGGTGGAAAACTGCTATAGCCACTAGGAGGACCCTGAGCAGAGATATTTACCTTTTTTTTTTTTTTTTAATAGAGTCAGTACATAATGTAAGATGTTTGGAAAGGTCATGTATGTTGGGGAGATTTGTTGGGAATTGTACCAAATCCGAAACCTGGACCACTTCTGCAGGTAAGTATGGTGTGTTGAGGACTTTCTACTGTGTAGTAATACCTCTTGTATCTCCATCGAATAGGAGTCCTCTATGTGTTGAAACCATGAAGCAGCCAAGCTTTGAGGCAAAGAATCTCCAGGTTGGGATGTAGAGTGCATCCTTCATTCTGTGAGAGGAGGTATAGAGTGTATCGGAGAGAGATTGGTGGGCATGTCATGAGTTGTGACAGGTAAGGTGTAGTGGGGAGGCTGCCCCACTCCAGGAAAAAATCGGTTAAAGAAGGCCAGAGAGGCTGCGCAGATGGGCAGTCAATAAGAAAGGGCCTGTGGGCAGTCAATCAGGACCTATATAAAGGCTGCAGCACAGAGGGAGATTAGTCTCCCCCTAACCAGCAAGGGAGGAGGACTGGCTCCTCGTAGAAGGAGCGGCACCCTGCTGAGCACTTCAGAGCACTGCTGGGCAGGGTAGCAGGGCAGCAGGAGCTCTGGCTGACTCTGCCAGACTGCAAGCCTTCAAACAAGGGCTGAGTGGGTGCTACGGCTACGGGGAAGTGGCCCAGGGAAAGCAGGCAGTGACGGGGAGTGGAGGAAGGCAGCAAGCAGCTGCTGATCAAGGGTCCCTGGGCTGGGGCCCAGAGTAGTGGGTGGTCCTGGGTCCCCTCCTCCCCCCTTACACCGCACCTTGCCACGTGGGAGCATGGCCCATGGACTGCACCTTGTCCTTGAGGTAAGGGACTAGACTTTGGGGTGGCAGGTGGCCATGAAGACAGGTGTGGTCTAGGACTACTGATATGCCCCCGGAAGGGGGGAGAATGGAGTGGTGGGCACTGCCGGAGGGCCGTGTCCTGAAGAGGGCTGTGTCCAGATAGCAACGCATGTCCCGGTGGTGGAGACAACACATCAGAGCAGACAACGGGCAGTAAGCAGGAGACGCTCCAAGGCTGGAAGGAGTTAATTCCCGGAGCAACCAGCAGGAGGCGCTGTGGTGGGGAGTCCTGATCCCATTATATAAGGGTACCAAGTCTGTCTCCTTCCCTTTTTAACAGAACTTTCGACAGTAGGAGTGTAGTGGGGACCTCAGGAGGTCATCTAGTCCAACCCCCTGCTTAGAGTAGGACCAATCCCCAAATAAATCATCCCAGCCTGACCTTAAAAACCTCTAAGAAGGAGATTCCACCACCTCCCTAGGTAACCCATTCTAGTGCTTCACCACCCTCTTAGTGAAATTTTTTTTCCTAATATCCAACCTAAATCTCCCCGACTGCAACTTGCGACCATTACTCCTTGTTCTGTCATCTGCTACCACTGAGAACAGTCTAGATCCATCCTCTTCGGAACCCCCTTTCAGATAGTTGAAAGCAGCTATCAAATCCCCCCCTCATTCTTCTCTTCTGCAGATTAAATAATTCCAGTTCCCTCAGCCTCTCCTCATAAGTCATGTGCTCCAGCCCCCTAATAATTTTTGTTGCCCTCCGCTGGTCTCTTTCCAATTTTCCCCACATCCTTCTTGTACTGTGGGTCCCAAAACTGGACAGTATTCGGAGTACGGCCACTGGGGTTGTGGAACAGAGCCTGGTGGGGGTGCCCAAGGCTGGCCATACCAAGGCTATACTTAAGGAGCCTCTTGGTAGTGGGCTCTTAGGGAGCATAGGAGGAATAGTGGGAAACAGTCTCCTCTGGCTCGCTGTCTGACTCCTCACTTGAAAGTGGGGGTACATGGCAGGGTACCAGAGAATACTCCTGCCTCAATAGGAGACTCAGTCTGAAGTCCCGGTGCCGAGAAGAGAAGAGTCTGATACGTCAGATACCTGGAGGTCTCTTGAGTGCCTAAATACCCGTGGTGCTGACTGACCTGGTACCATTGGTAGTACAGAGGGCATCGGGGATCTTGCTTGCATCCACTGTTCTAGTGCCAGATGGGGCATTGATGATGGTGCTGAAGGTACACTGCATACCGGCAGCGTCTTTTTACTGGAGTGTAGTTTGCTCCTATCTTTGTCAGTCATTACTGTTGACTCGGTGCCTGTGCCCATCAGGTTCTTAGGCAAGTCAACGATATCTGCCGCTCCAGATCTTCATGAGCCATGGATATTGGGCTGGAATTGTTTCGGTGTCAATGATGCCATATGTGTCGGAGATCTTTTGCAGATAGCTTGGGGCTTACTCTGGGGACTCACTGCTCTCTTTTATGATGACTTACGAGAGGGGTCCCTGGCTGAACACTTCAATCCACAGTCATTTGATGTTGAGGGTTGTGTGGCGGGCACATCTGCCAGGTGACTCTCGGCACAGGTCCGAAGATTGGAAGGCTGCTTTCATGAAGATCATTTTCTATCTCAACTCTCTGTCCTTTTGAGACCTGGGTCTAAGTTACTGGCAGAGACCACACTTCTGTGGGATGTGGCCTTCCCCAAGGCATGGTATGACATGAGAGTGCTTGCCTGCCACTGAGATAGCCTCTTTGCAGGAGGTCACTTCTTGAAGCCTGGTGAATCAGGCATATCCCATTGGGGAAAATAAAGTCTCCTTTTTTGACTGGGGTATAGAAAACAAAAAGAAAGACTACGGCTAAGACTAAGGAGACTACTAGGAATGCTAAAGAAATTAATGATAGCAAATGGGCTGCAAATGGCACCATCTCTTGCCAGGGACAGTTGAGAAGGAACTGGGGCGGGGGGGTAGCCTCATGGTGGGGCAAGAGGAGAGACAGGACACAGGACATGTGCGGGCCTAACAGACTCTGCTACCAAAGGTCTCCGGTCAGTAGTGCAGGGATGCAAGCCGGATGCAGTGGAGCACCTGTAGGGACACTACTCAAAGAAAAAGGTAGCTTCCAATAATATCACATATATGCAGCATCTGTCTTCTTAAACTAGGGTGACCAGATGTCCCGATTTTATAGGGACAGTCCTGATACTTGGAGCTTTTTCTTATACAGAAGCCTATTACCCCCAACCCGATTTTTCACACTTGTCTGGTCACCTTATATTAAGCAAACCCATAATATTTGTTGTACTTTATAAATTATACTATAGCAGGCCAGAAACCTTAAATTTTTCACATAAGAAATTTCCAAAATGAAAATCTTTGAAAATTTTCATTTCATTTTGACTTAAAATGTAATTTTCTGTGTTTTTAAGCCAAATAGCAAAAATGAAATGCCATTTTAAGTTAAAACAAAAAAAATCATGTCATAAATGTCAATTCAAAACAAAATATGTTCATTTTGACATTTCCCATAGGAAGGTAGAAATTTTTCATCTGAATTTATATTTTCCTGTAAAAAAT